AAGTGATGGAGAAATTTCTACAGACATTATCAACGGACCAAATAGAGATTTTCACCTGGACCGACTCGATGGTGGTACTTGGCTGGCTACACGGAGACATATCAAAATGGAAGCAATTTGTGGCTAACCGTGTACAGAAAATTACTGAAGTAATTCCAGCATCAAATTGGCGTCACGTTAAGTCTACTGACAATGCAGCAGACTGTGCTACGCGTGGATTGACCAACGAACAGTTATCAGGACATCGCTTGTGGTGGGAAGGGCCAGAATGGCTTGTTAAGTTTAACCCATATCATATCACCACAACTGAATATCATACTCCAACAGAAGATATCAAAAAACGCATTGTGCACACAGCCTTATGCCAGTCGAATTGGACTTTAATAACTGAATTACTCAACAAGTTTAATTCATTAACAAAGATTGTGCGAATATTGGCATGGGTGTCACGTTACATCGCTAACCTGCGCGACAAAACTTCACACGCAGCGAAAGGTGCACTGACCGGTGTTGAAATACAAAGCGCACTCTATCACATTATTAAACATGCACAAAGCATAGATTTTCAAGAAGATATTTATCACTTGAAAAAAAAGGGCTTCGTCCGCAGCAACAGCAAGTTGTCCTGTCTACGGCCATTCTTAGATGATCACGGGATACTGCGAGTTGGTGGACGCTTGGAGCAAGCAAGTATAACATACGCGGCGAAGCACCCTATCATTATATCACCTAGAAGTCGCTTGGCAGAGTTACTCATTCATCAAGCTCATATCACTACGCTTCACGGCGGGCCACGACTTACCTTATCAGTTATCAGGGAGAAGTATTGGCTGATCAGCGGCATCAGCAGCGTCAAGAAGCATCTCCGCTCGTGCGTAAAGTGCCGCAGATATAACCAGGAAACATATCAACAACTCATGGCTGACCTCCCGAAGCCTAGAATCACACCCTCTCGCCCCTTCACTAATGTCGGGATAGATTTCACCGGACATGTGGAGATAAAATCAAATAAGGGACGAGGTATCAAGACTACCAAAGGATACATTGCAGTATTCGTGTGCCTAGTAACCAAGGCTGTACACATAGAATTGGTGTCTGATCTAAGCACAGCATCCTTTCTGGCAGCATTAAGAAGGATGTGTTCCAGGCGTGGAGTACCCAAGAATATCTACAGTGATAATGGGACCAATTTTGTTGGCGCTTCACGACGGCTAAATCAAGAGTACAGAGAGATAATGGCTTCAATCAATCCAACTGCGATGGACAACATGGAGATACACTGGCACTTCAACGCTCCTGTGTGGCCAAACGCCGGAGGTTTATGGGAAGCAGCGGTGAAAAGTCTGAAATATCATTTAAAGCGAGTGCTTGGTAATCAAAAATTAACCTTTGAGGAGTTCACCACGCTGTTGTGTCAAATAGAAGCCTGTCTCAATTCGAGACCTCTCTGCGCACTCACTGAAAGTCCAGATGATACCTATCTTACACCTGGGCATTTTCTTATCGGCGGATCCTTGTTATCAAGACCACAAACAGATCCTGATCATATGAGCCTGACTATACGTTGGCAATTGATTCAGGCCATGAACAAACAGTTCTGGAAAAGGTGGTCCAATGAATATCTTCAACAGCTTCAGTCCAGAACAAAATGGCGAGCTATGAAAGAAAACCTTAAACAGGACGATATCGTCCTGATCAAAGAAGATAACATGCCGCCTGGCAAGTGGGCGATGGCGCGAGTCCAAGCTCTGCATCCCGGTCAAGATGGCTGTGTCAGAGTTGTGACGTTGAAAACATCAAATAACATCATCAAGCGTCCAGTGAACAAACTTGTCCCACTGCCAGTACAAGAATATAATATCCCCCAGGAGCCCACTTCGAATAGTTCAGACCAGGCAACGTCCCTCAGGCATCGCAACAAGTCGAAATTCAGCATGAAGACGTTATTTACTTCAGCGTTTCTTATGTTAGTGTTGATAATATCGCCTAGTATACAACAATCATACAATATCACGCCGCTCAACAGTCAGAGGAATATGTTTTTCGACAAATTATCAGAGCTACAACATATCAAGGACGAGTGGAAATTGATAGTGTATTACAACATGTCTACATACTGGTCTGGATTCACCGACTTAGAAACATATGTTCGACATTTAAATCAATTATGTCAGCGTTCCTGCCTACCGCAATCAAGAATGCCGTACGGAGCTATCATATTACAACTGGAACATGAATTGAACGAACTGCAACACTATAATTCCTTACTTGTCAACCCAAACAAAAGATACAAGAGAGGACTAGTTAACGGTGTTGGCAACCTGGCTAGCTACTTGTTTGGGGTGTTGGACGACAAGTTTGCAGAGCAGTACAAACAGGATATTGAGAAAATATCCCTAAATGAAAATCATTTACAGAGCCTTATCAAGAATCAAACTCTTATTATTGAATCTGAGTTCAGCGTCATCCGAAGAAATGAGGCTATAATGAACCAACAATTTACTTCCATGAACAAACAAATGAAAGCCTTATTGCAAGAAGTAAACAACGTACAATCGGAATCAACGCAAGGTCTCTACTTAACGTCGTCAGCACTATCAGCATACGCCGTACTATCAAACTTACGACGTGTACAACAAGGTCTCATCGACGTCATCACTGACATCTATCATGGGCGCATTGATACCCACCTGTTCCCGCCTGAAGAATTGGAGGCTCAAATTAATATAATAAACCGGGAGATACAGGATGACCTCAATGTGCCACTAGACAAATCAAGTGTCAGAAGTCTTTATAAATTACTGCGAGTATTTGCTCGAGTGTATAAAGACTACCTTATCATGGAAATCAAGATTCCTCTTGTGTCCACAGAGAAATATGAACTGGATAAGATCATCCCTCTACAAAGAGAAGAATCAGGAAAAGGCTATCAAATTGCATCGACTTATCCCTATTTAGCATTTAATTTGAGGAAGGACCTGGTCTTATTCTTCACAGAAAACGACCTGTTGCAGTGCCTTCATCCAAGTACAGAGAAGATATTATGTTCTATTGATAAGCCAATCTATGAAATAAGAGAAAAGCAATCTATTTGCGATATCAAAATCAATGGAATAATCACATCAGCCTGTATACAAAAACAGTCGACGTGCGAAAATAAATGGATCAAGTTACGGCGCCCGAACGACTGGCTATATCAATGTTGTCAGCAATGCACTGTCCGCATTTTTAGCATACGTAATACGGAAGTGAAGTCGTTATCAGGCAACGGTATTATCACTCTATGTCCAGGATGCATACTTAAGGGAGATTCTTTCAAGATTTACTCTCACAAGAACTTTATCAATCACGTGGACCATCATACAGAAGAGATGGAGCTTCCACAGATGTCTGTTGTTAACGAGATAGTCAACACCAGCATCCCCTCGATGGATACTTTTGTACCCGAGGATCATCATTCAATATGGAGCCAGTTGAAATCAGACATAGAAGATCTCAAGCAACAATCAACTCAAACGCTGAGTGTCCACGACGTGCATCAATATAGCGTGCTCTACTCGCTGGTGGCTGGAGTGATCCTCACTGGCTTTATCATACTTATCTTCTGGATCCGAAGGAGACGGACTCAGAAGCCGGCATTGGAGTCAAGATTAGAATCAGCAGCAGTACAGCCGACCGCCAAGCCGCAGCCTACACCGCGAGGGATCACCGAGAGTAGATCAACCCCTAACTTGCATTCGATTAAGTTCGATATTCCTTTGAGTAATAGTTAGATGGTTTATGTAATTAGTATTAAGTTGTCATTTTTTAACTTGCTGTTTATTTAATTTGTTTTAATTTATATCATGTCATTTCTTTCTTTGCGCCCTCGGCAGCATGTACAGACAACTGTACAGGTTTAATTTAGTTTTATATACATAATTACTGTCGCGACTCGCGTCAGCACCTTTGTACGACTATTTAAACTGTATCATTAGCATTTTATATCACTGCACTTTATCATTTGTATCAATAAGTATCAATATACTCTCGTCACAGAAGTTTGTGTTAATTTATCATTTCTACGCAATCTTCGTGTCTATATCAACGAGAAGCAGTCAACCTATCAACTATCATTCAAGTGTAGGCGCTTACAACCCCTACAATAAGGATATTAGGATTAGGATATTAGGATTAGGATTAGGATTAGGATATTAGGATATATATATTATGTTGTATTCTTTTTTTTTACTTTCGTTTTATTTAATAGTTTAGTTGTAGTTAATTTTAAGTTGTAAATATTTATGTAGTTAAATAAATTAAAATGAACCATAGGTAAACTTATCCTTTTCTGTCAAACTCTATGACATCTTTAACTTTACTATATTGACATAAAGTCGAAAATACAGTGAATAATTTTTATAGACTGCATTAGGTTGATCTCCAGACCACAGTACATAAGTCTTTTCGATCAATTTGGTAGGATCTTTATTCCTTCTGTAAAGTGTGGAGTAAGTATATGGCAAACCCTTGAAACACACATTTCAGTCATGGACAAATAGGCAAGTAGGTGATGGTAAAATTATAAATGACAACTTTAAATGTGAAATAATATTATTATCATAAACATAAGCAACAAATAATGGAAATTTAAATATAATTATTATATATGATATAATGTGGCGTACAGCGCCATCTATGAAATTTGTTTTGAACGAAAATGACAATTAACTAATGCAAATAATTCGAATGTTACCCGCTAGAGGGAATAGGTAACCTCAGTAATCGTTCAAATACTTTTGAGATAATAATAATTATCAAAATTCAATAAGGTATTTTAAGAAATAAGTGTTTTATTTTTCAAATAATTGTACAGTTTTTAAGATTAATTTTATAGTTTTTAGATGACATTTTAGTAAAGTTTAAATAATAATTAGTTTATATTGTTAGGGTAAGATCAATATTATAAAAGTTAGATTAGTATATTTTTGTTACCCAGTTTTGACTGAGTGGAATGATGTGTCATTCACGTCACAAAGTAGCATTTCATTTTTGTAGGTTGATCAGTAAACTCTAGTGTTTTATTATAGGTTATGAATTAGCCGCGTGTAAATATTACTAAAATCACGTTAGTCACATCAATCAAAACTATACATGTACAACATTGGAAATTACTGAAACACTACAAAATGAGGTATGAATTATATTAATTAATCATTCACTACATGGAATACCTATTTTATTACTTATATAATAAGACATGACATTGACGAAGAAAACAGAGATAAGTTGAATGTAATACTTATTTCAAAACTTTTATAACAATGACTTATTGGAATTAATGTCCTTCCTCCACCCTCCAGGACACCCTCTGTCCATAGAAGTTCTCCATCGCAACCTGTCATGAGCTTTGACATTAGTTTAAAGAGATAATTAATAGATGGCGTTAGTAGTCTGTAGAGAGAAAATAAATTATTCTGGCCAAGTTACCTACTAATATAATGAATGTTCGAAAGTTTGTGAGGATATATGGATGGATGGACGGATGTATTTATCACTCTTCCACGAAACAACTACTCGACGGAGGATGAAACATGGAACAAAGATTATTTTATAGTCTACTAGCGTAGTTAAAACCCGTGAACGCGGGTAGAGCCGCTGCCCCACTGGCGAAAGCAAGTAGAGAATAGAAATTTACAAAGAAAACATGTGAGACGACTAGCAGTAGTTTCAAAACTCTATTTTCCTGATTCTATTGCGTCATATAATCAGCATAAGCACGTAATAATGATGACGTTCAAATAATTGTTCACAAACAACAACAATTCCTATTATTGTTTGTTTGTTTTTGTTTTGACCCATCCTCGTGTTTATGGTGTTGGAATAGTCATACTAGAGTCTTAATCTACGTCAGTTTTTTTCAAAGTACATGTAAAAGCCAAGTGCGTATATGTCACCACAAATAACAAGAACCGTTAGTTTTCTTTTATGGGATAAGTCGGTAATCAAGGACACCTGCAACACCAGGGGCGTTACAGGTGCGTTACCGGCCTTTTGGGAAATAGGGATTCGGGGATTGGGGGTCACGTCGGTTTTCTTTGAGGCCGTGGTATCACTCCGGTACACCCAGCCCATTCGTGGTGAAGCATTGCTCTCTCACACTTTCTAAACAAATAAGAACTTCCGTAGGATTCTAAACGAGACGTAAATAGGTACCATTTAGAAAACACGGATCTTATCTTGGTTACAATACTTATAAAGGGCAAAAAACGATTTTGCCCATAAATATGCTTTTAGGTACACAGTAAATTATTTTTCTGAACTAAATTGAACTTCAAACACTCAAAAATATGGTTTATTTTTTCAGGCATAGTGACGACAACGCGGGTAACTCACGCTTCACCAGCGGGCATGTATGCCCACACATCGGAGAGGAACTGGGAATCTGATGCCGATGTACCTGATGAATGCTTGGCTGCTGGATGCAGGGACATAGCGTATCAACTCGTCACTAGCAGCCCTGGAAGACATTTCAAGGTAAGTTTACTTAAAGTACTGCCTCATTGGGCGAGTGGACGCAAGTACGACTGTCGAGAAAGGGACCTCGGGTTCTATTTCCGAGTCGGGCAAAGTATTGCTGGGTTTTTAAAAATAATCTCAGTGGTAGCACGCAGTCTGGAATTGTACCCGGTATATGGCAATAGGCTCACCCCCTATTACATGGGACTCATGACATAAATAGTGAAAAACGGGTTACATTGTACAATGGCATTTTATTATAGCATAAGCCGGTAAACGAGCAGACGAATCACCTGATGGTAAGCAATCGGCGTCGCTCATGGACATCTAGAACACCAGAGGCGTTACAAGTACGTTACCGGCATTTTGGGGATTAGGAGTTTGAGGATCGTTGGGGATTCAGGGATTGGGGAGATTGAGGAAGGGGAGGGTAACTGGGCCTCCGGTAACCTCACTCGTACGACGAAACACAACGCAAGCGTTGATTTGCGTTGGTTTTCTGTGAGGGCGTGGTATCACTCCAGTCGAGCCGGTTCATTCGTGCCGAAGCATGGCTCTCCCACACTTAAATTAAGTGCCATAATATTCACCTCTACCTACCCCTTCGCTGATAAATGGCGTGAAGTTATGTTATTACTTAAAACTAACCAATAATTCTATAAGAGCCCACAGCTGAACAAAGGCCCCTTTTCACATGGAGACATCGCCTCGCGATCGAGGTGCATAAGCAATAAACTTATAATTGAAAATTATGTCCATGCTCCCTCACGATGTTCTCTTACACCGTGTATCAGTGATGTCTAAATCTCCCAATACCTGGCTGGCAATGCACTTGGAGCTCCCCTGGTGTTGGCGCCGGTTGCTTACCACCATGTAATCTGGTCGTTTGCCACCCTATTCAATAAAAAAAATATTGTAATATAAACCTTTGTGTACCTCTATAAAGGAAACAAATAAATGTATTATCACTACATAGTACAAAACTAAGTCGCTATCCGCCGTCTGTGTGTCCCTACGTATGCTTAAATCTTTGAAACTACGCAAAGGATTTTGATGCGGTTTTTTTTAGTAGATAGAGTGATTCCCAAGGAAGGTTTATATGTATAATACATGTGTATGCACCTGTGCGAAGCCGGGGCGGGTCGCTAGTTATTAATATATTATTTTATTATTTCAGGTCATCATGGGCGGTGGTCGTAGAGAATTCCTCCCGAACACGACAAACATTTTAGGCAGTAAAGGGAGGAGGTTGGATGGCGTGGACCTCACGGACCTGTGGCATGTCGACAAACTCAATATGAATCACACACATCAATACGTCACCGACAGATTAGAACTTTTAAAGGTACCCATCTATATCTTATACTTCTTATCATATACTATTATATAAAGCGGATGAGCTTGTTTTTTTGTTTGTTTGTTTGAACGCGCTAATCTCCGTAACTACAAGTCTGATTTGAGTAATTTTTGTGTTACAAAAAATAGTTAAAACCAAAAAATGGTATTGTTTATAATAGTAGTAATAGTATCGATTATAATATTATATTCCTCATTCAACTTGTTATGTAGGTACGGACATATAAATACAAATGGCCGATAAAACATGTAGGTATAGGTAATTCACAACAGCTGATCTGTGTTATTTATAAACAGTAATGTTATTATTAATTATTGTTCCTGTTGCTAACAGGAATATGACACAATTCGAGTCAAGGATGCAGTGATAACAGCTCGCGAGCTGCCTATAGTTTATACAAATAATGACGTCAAACTATATTCATTAATAGATTGAAATGTACGTAACAACGTTAAATGCCTTGGGGTCATCGGTGACCGACGTTAGCGGAGTAATTTACTTCAACAGTTTTCTGTTGACAGTCAAAGCTTTTATAATGTCTTCATCATCATCAGCCCGTATTCGTCCACTGCCGGACATAGGCCTCTCCAATGGCACGCCACTGAACTCGGTCTTCAGCTCTTCTCATCCAACCACAACCAGCCACCTTGCGGATGTCGTCACTCCACCTAGCTGGAGGGCGCCCTACATTGCATTTTCCTAGACGCGGTCTCTACTCTAGAACACGTTACCCCAGCGGTTATCGGTTCTTCGACAAATGTGAATGGCCCACTGCGACTTTAGCTTACTGACAGCTTAATGTCTTCAGTATGCACCAAATGCTTCTTGGGTCAAATATCTGCAACAAAAAACTTGTATCATTATATTATAAAACATAGGTACATAATAGTATTTTCATTTGTACCAAAATACAGCTGTAATGCAATCAGTAGGAAAGGATACATAATTAATTAACAGTAAACTTGAAGTAATGTTTCGCCTTGTCCTGTTTCCAGGTCTTCAATTCCGACGACTTGCCGGAGTACTTGTTGGGGTTGTTCAGGGATGATCACATGGAGTACCATCTTAAAGCCGAGAACCAGCCATCTCTCGAAGAAATGGTGGAAGTGGCCATCAAGATGCTTAGTAGGAGCTCTAAGGGATTCTTCTTATTTGTTGAAGGTAACATTTGACCTCTTATTAGCAAACAAAAATTACTGTCTACATCAAAGACGATGAAAAAATCGCGGATGTAATGTCACTGGGAAATGATTGAAGCACCGAGGTGTGGTATATTTATACTTGCAACACCTTCATGTATTAAGTGTAATGACGGGCCATGTCACGCAACCGATGTCCTTCGTGTCAATGTGTGTGTATTCTGCGTGTAAGTCTATAGTACCTAGGTGCCATAGCCGTTGTTTCAAGAGACTATGACCGCCTTTTTTTTTTCGACTTCCTTAGTCCAGACAATGGAAGCAATTGCCATAGATTGAATAGTTTTTCGTAAAAGTTAATAACCTCTATAACAAGAACTAAATTTTTTAAACTCGTTAAGTTATTAATCTTAAAATTCCTTCAATTTACAGGTGGAAGAATCGATCATGCGCACCACGACAGCTTAGCTCATTTAGCACTGGACGAAACGGTGGAATACTCGAAAGCTGTGAAGAGAGCAAGATCTCTGACCAGTGAGGAAGACACCCTGATAGTCGTCAGTGCTGACCACGCTCATACGATGACAGTTGCTGGGTACCCTTCAAGAGGCAATGACATTCTTGGGACTGTGGACACCGCAAATGGAATGGATGGAAAACCCTATACCACTATTAGTTACGCAAATGGAAGAGCTCAATCGATTGCAGCGGACGGAAGGGTCGATGTGACCCAGGATAAACAATTTACATCTCGTAAGTATCATTTTAATTCTAAAAAAATACTTTGTTAGGTTAGTTCGGTCTCTGGATTAGTCAAGACGTATCGTACATAGTATAGTACATTTTTGTCCCTCAAAAACTTTTATTTTTTTTAATTCTTCTTTGTTTAGTATCGATATAAATGTATTGTTTTGTTCTAATTAAAGGTGATCCAGACTACGCCTATCCAAGCTTAGTGCCTTTAGATTCGGAGACCCACGGCGGGGAGGATGTGGCAGTGTACGCATCTGGACCTTGGCAGCATCTGTTCACTGCCAGCTACGAGCAGAACCTAGTGCCACATCTAATGGCCTATGCCATGTGCATCTCAGAAGACCAGCACGGCAACTGTGGACCAGAAATCCACAAATACACCGCAAGTGGTGTCACCACCAACCCTAGTACCAATTTACTGATAAGTTTAACTGTGATATTTATTTTAAGGATATTTTATTAGGTAAAAATACTTAATTTTTTATTTTACTTTAATAGCGTAATAAAGTTGGAATTGTATGGAATGTATGGAAAGATCGAAAATAATTTAAAATACGGATTATTTGCGTAAATTATCTGGGAAAAGTTCCGCAAATTTCAAGTGATACCAGGAATCTTCATCAGCAGCATTCACGGTGCAGTCACGGAACCTACCAGCAGAGCTTTTCTCGAATAATTCACACGAGAAAATCATTTTATATATCTGACGATAGTTACACAAAGTTGTCAATTACAGTTCTAATAGCCTGTGATCTGAAACATTCCCAAATAGCCTTGAACTTCTGTATCCAGTATACCTGTTTCTGTATCATGTAACCACATTTATTTGAGTTTACCACAGACATACCCGCGAAAAGTACTTTCGTTTTATAATACCTTTGGTTACGAATAATGCAGTTTTCATGTTTGTTTCATGAATTTTAATCAATAAGCATTTTATGAGCTGTGATATTAACTTATCAAGATAGTATTCATAAAAGGGTTCTATATGATTTTTAGGAATTTAGAACTTTGTGCCCGGTATAGCCCTTTTCGCCTTAACCTTTCATGTGTATATAACGCGGACCCACACGAGACGCAATATCTTTTGTACTGTGTCTCATATCAGTGTATTCTACTAGTTAATAGCAATTTTATACTGGTCACCTCTGCCTACCCCTTATGCCTATGCTTCTTAATAAAGATGGAAATGTTTTGATAAAACATATTGAAGTGAATAAAAAATATTTTGCATAGCATTTAGCTACAGAAAACTATCAAAGTACGGACTTCTGTATCATCGTTAAATGAGACAGATAAACACCAATTAGTGCAACAATTGACAATTTGAAAATTGAAACTTAATAAGATGTCGTACAGCTTAGGACCGGTTTACCTACGACGTAGATAGTTCCATTGTCAAATGACTCCCTTCAAACGTGATGAGGTTGAAAACTTATTAAAAAAGTTACATATTATCTACTGTATAGTAGTTGTACATAATAAATGAATTAGAAAATATTGTTTAAGACCTAGACTAAGAGAGATATTTCAGTATTTTTATTAATAAACATTGTAAAGTACAATTAAATAGACGTTTTTTATTTACTGTATAACATAGGCTTTGTTTTATTGTATGCAAGAATTGGAAAGCACTATGAAGATAGAGATACCAGGCTGTTACAGCCTGGTCATGGAATATTTGCCACAGCAAAAATCCTCCGAGGCGACCGGATATGTAGCGACGACAGCTTGCTCAGTATATTTCTATGTAAATAAACACATAGAAACGTACTAAATAAGCCACGCGGAGCGGCGACCGTTCGCCGGATACCGAGCAAATTATACGGCGCCAGTCTTTTGAAACTTAGAACTAATATTTTTGTATGAATTCCTTAACCTGCAGTAGCGGACATTCTAAACTTTCCGAATTATAACAATTCTAATTTCTATTAAACTGTCAAACACCAAGCGGTCACCGGTGACCGCAACCTATTGTTCTTTAATTGTGTCTATAAATACGGTACTCGACGAGTTAATTATTTAATTTCTAATTCTAAAGTGACTCCCTTTGGCATAACTCAATCGCCCACTGTAAACTCTGGCTCGTATATTGAGTCAAAAGCACAATTGGTTATGTGGGGTTCTTCAAGAAGGAAGGAAATAGGTTTTTTAAGGTCCGACAAGGCCCATCTATTGCCCCAAATGTTGCAAGCATTAATATGCCACGGAAACCACTTAGCACTAGCACGAAGCCCTCGAGCACATCGAAAGGCGTTCCAAGAGGCTCATCATGATACGCTTGTGGAGGCCCGGCAGCAAATCCCCAAGCCAGGCGGCAAGCCGACATTTCGAAGAACTGTAAAACTCAATTCCTACCAGTCCAAATTTTTGACGAATACCTGGAACAAATGATTCAGTTAGGTAAGTCCAATTCAGAGGAGGTCAATCGTCGAGTCCGGGGCATAGGTAGCGTTTTATTTTATTATATTAATTTGGGTCACCATTAATTGATCTCACTCTCACATAGGGTTACATTACATTTAAGATAACTCAAATACTAGTGAATCGATCTATTACAAGTAAGCACAAAATGCATTATATATATACTAAATGGTTTACAAATTACTATGACCATTGCAAAATACAACCATCGAGGGACATTCAATATTAAAAATTAAAAACTATTAAGAACTTAAAATCGAAGCGTTCGGGTAACACGCAACATCGTCTCGCCCGGTGTACCTCAGTGCCTTAAGACCAAAATGTATATAGTCAGTGTGTATTACCAGCGATGATATAAAGAACCGAAACGTGGCTTCTCACTATAAGAAAGCTCAAGGTCTCTCTGCGCGTTATGAAAGGCAGCGAGCTAGGCATTCTTTAGCACAGAGTCTGGAATTGTGCCCAGTATATAGCAATAGGTACATGGGACTCATAAAATAAATATTGAAAAGTGGGTGTTACATTGTACAGCGGCATTAACCCTTTGAGTACCGTCATTATAGACTTTAAACTGTCAAACACCGCGAGGACACCGGTGACCGCAACCTAATTGTTCTTTAATTGTGTCTATAATGACGGTATTCAAAGGGTTAAGTGCCGTAATGTGCACATTAAATATGGTCCGAGTATAAAAGGCGTGCTGTTATGTTACAAAAGAATAATCAACGTAATTCTATTACCACGATGCCACCATGATGCGGTGACGTCATCGTGTCTGCACGTTAAGTGTTACATAGGTATCTAACCTCAAAATCAACAAATGGATAATTATCAAAATAAAAATGATAATATGAATACAATCATGTAGGTACAAAGAACTGAATATGTTTAATTCTTTAAGTATACCTAGTTTTACTTATTAAAGTTTCAAACGAAGGAATTGAAACAAATCCTGATAGATCTAGCACAATTAGTTTGACCTATATCTCCCTCCCGACCCAGTGTCAGACTGCGCCAGACAATCCACAAACAGAGAGAGATGGCGGGAGATCGTGAGGAAAGCTGTATCGGCCTTCAACACAAATACGGTCGCCTCAACGTGACCACGTCCGCTCTACCAACTATCTATTTGATATTTATCGATCAAAATGTCCCAAGAAAGTGAGAAAAGTACAAATCTTGAAGCACTCACTTGTTTTTACACAAACACTTGCATTCGTATATGAATACCTATACCCCTTGATATTATAACATTAAAAAGGTGTTGATAGGTTATAAACGTTGAAATCATTCGATGTTTTTCCTCACTTAAAAAAGGCTTGTCATTGTCTGTCAAAAAGTGTGTCAGTTGAAAAAATGAAAATTCTTACATTAGATTTTTACATTAAAATGTTCATTTAATAAATAATCACGGAAGTATATAAATGTAGGAAACGTATTTAATTGATTTTTTTAACTTTATATGTTTTAAGTAGATTATTTTGTATCCACATTGAAGGTTAGGTAACTATCTCATAGTGATTTGTAAATTACTTTTAATAAATGATATCAATTAAAAATATTGTAAGGTACCTACGTTAAAATAAAATAATTAATAAATAGTTATCAAATAAAAAAGGTTAATAAATATGTGAAAATGGTAGATAATTAATTAATAATGTTGGCAATATTCTTCATACCTTCTTGTGAATCTGTGGTTTGAATGAAAAATAGGATGTTACGTTTGTTGGTGCGCTTACGCCGGCCGGCATCGTGCCAGTCTCACTTGCTTATTGCGGGACGATAGCTGGTGGTCGCTGGTCGCCACTCGCCTGAAAGATACGGTCGAAGCAAGACGTTTGAATTGACTAAATTGTTTCGGAAAATCCAAGTGTCAGTTCTTTTCAACATGATTTTAAAACACTTTTTTATAAACCATTTTCTGATTTTCGGTCTGATTAATTTAACTATGTGGATTTACACGGTAACTACTGCACCGATTGATGTTCCGGAAGCTAGAAACTTTAAAGAAATTTACCACACAATTGTAAAACGAAGTGTTATTACAAGTAATCCAGATTACGTTTGTCCTGAAAACTATTATAGTTTTGGGAGACTATGTTTTCCCTGCACTCAGTGAGTACCTACTAACTAACTTATAATATATTTTCTTTTATTTTAATTCCGTGCGTTTGCAAATTTACATGTAATAAAATCTAGTAGACAGTAATGTGTTCTGATTTAGATAAATCTATATATATAAAAGAAAGTTGTGTTAGTTACACCACTTATAACTCAAGAACGGCAGAATAGATTTGACTGAAAATTGGTAGACCTCCCTACCAACACCTTAAAGCCAGGAAACCGACATAGGATACTTTTGTAAATATGTAAATACACAGTCACTTGTGGAAATTGAATCTTAAAATAGTACGTGCGTGATTAATGTATGTCGTATAGATAACCGCTATTTCGCTGCAATTGGGACCTTTGTTAAACAGGCGCGAAAGGATGACCTTTCGTGAATTGAATAACCTTGGACCGCATTTTAAATAGATACTCATGGTTTTCAAATCAGAAAAGCTTGCAGATTATGATTATAATGTTGCCGGGAGATTTTTTGGTCCATTTTTAAACTCCACCTTCTCGATATCAAGTAAACGGACTGAACAAGAACTTTTAAACCAATTCAATAATTATTATAATGACAAAATTTAAATTCTAATATTCCATACAGAGCGCTTCCTTATACGGTGTCTGGCGTTGTACCTATGTTATCTTTAGTTTATACCTCTAGAAAAAGTTTCTAGTTTAATAAATTTAATGTGCCCAAATGATGCCATTATCAGATTTAAGAAAATGACAGATGAACTTCGTATCAATATATGTTCCGCGTGTAAGTCTATAGCGCCACTGTTGTTTCAAAAGCCTTCGCCTTTTTTCATCATCCTTGGGACCTCGCATCATGGAATAAAAAACTGGGGGAAGTGTGATGTAGGCGTGGCACTTAACGGCATTAAAAAACTCCGTAGGTAACTATGCCGTGTTGTGCAATTTGTGGCGTGAAAAATTATTTAATATCAAATAAAGGATATTTGCAGTTACCGGGTGTTATCTATATACTGAATAATATATATTTATTAAGATGTTTTATTTTTTTTTACTTAATTAAACTGGGGGAAGTGTGATGTAGGCGTGGCACTTAACGGCATTAAAAAACTCCGTAGGTAACTATGCTTGTTGTGCAATTTGTGGCGTGAAAAATTATTTAATACCAAATAAAGTATATTGTAGTTACCGGGTGTTATCTATATATACTGATTAATATATATTTATTAAGATGTTTTATTTTTTTTACTTAATTAATTAATTAATTTATGTACACACATTCAACACAGAGGACAATACATTTATAAAAACAGAGTACATAGGTTTTAATTACCGTGGCCTGGTCGAGTATCTCTCGATTAATGTAATTAAATGACCAATGTCCCGAACCTAGTCGAGTAGAAAAATAACGAGTTTTATGACGCGATTTATGACCTTATCTGTAACGAAATAAAATGTATAATTGCTAACACTAATGGCCATCCATAACGGGGTAGTAGAATTTACTTGTAAAACGTCTTAAATAGACTCCGCACTAATGGAAAATAAATTTTACATAATAGGTTTATTCTGGATGAAAGATATGCGACTTAAGCTGGTTTTGCGATTTAAACGACAAATTAAAACAGTTGTCTATTTGTAGTGAATTGACGTTTTTGAAATAAATGATTATCATTTCATTTGTGTGAGTTTGGCGACAGTGGTTCCCGTAGTAATCGTGTTGGATGACGCGACGCTTGCCTAGTTTTAACTATTCTATGCCTCGTATCGTATCGTATTATAACAATAACTATGTAGGTATGTAACTGATGGAAACTTTTTACAGTCGGATTGAAAACGTTTTCGTACAAATTTTTGTTTCAACTCTTGATTTTTCCGAAATAGAACAATGTGTATTAAAAAAAGCAATGTGTAAATTGAGTCGTAAAATCATCACATTCCATAATTTATGCCTTCAACAAGAAAATCCTAAATTATGGTAACGTCATCGGGCGCCACACCTAC